AGGCTACCTGGGTTCCTGCCGCTGGCCAGGGGTCCTTGCATGTGGGTCTGCACCCTGGCAAGAAAGCAGCTGATTTTGTGCCCTGGCTGCACCCGATACCCAGCAAGAAGTGCTTCTGATCCTCTCCCAGCACAGCCATGGTGGAGCTGCCCAGCCTCAGAGCCGGAGTAGCGCATCCTGTACGGACGCTGCTTGATGAAGTATAGCAGCCTCGTGGAAAATGGAGAGGGACTTGCTGGAGGCTGCCCTGGCCCCGTGAACTGGAGCGGGAGGCTTGAGGCTCACGGCCAGGAAAGTGCCTGCAGCAGGTGAGGTTTTGTTGGCAGGGAGTGGTGGGGTGGATGGGAGCCATGCCGTGCATTAAGGCTGGAAATCAAACAACCCTCGCTCGCAGCTGAGAGGGCAGTGGGGGCTCATGTCCTGGGGGACATCTCACCTCCCTGCTGCGATGGGAGCAAGGCCCTGTGAAGCGGGACCCCCTGCCTGGGGTATTCCTCGTTTCCCCCAGGGATGGGGACGGTTCCGCTCCTCTGCGACGCCGTACTGAGCTGGCTTTGTTGTGCACTTGGAGGAAGCCCAGCGAGCGAGCGGCTCGGGGCCGGAGGGATTGCCTTGTCTTGCTGCCGGGGAGCTAAATATATACATCTTGGCCACAAAATCACAGTGCAGCATAACCGTTGGCACCAGCTGTGATGAGGGAGAGGAGCTGCCTGGTGGTGCCCAAGGAAGGCAGGAAGGGAAGGGGTGGGGGATGTGGGAAGGCCATGCAGACCCTTTGAGGGGCTGGCAGGGCACTGCGGCTGGCAGCACAGCCTGGCACGGGGGGCAGGAAATCCTCAAGCTGTCACTTTGCCTTTTCCATCTCCTGGCCACGCGACGAGGAGCTGGGGAAGAGATGAGGCTGCCGGCTGCCTGGGCTCTCAGCTTTGTTTCCAGCCATTTCCCAGGCTCCTTTCCCTGCGTTCATCTCTCTTATTCATTCCTTTGTGCCTGCGACCGCTTTGAAGTGCATCTGTGGTCGGTCTGACAGCATCCCTCTCTTCCAGGGATGCCTGTCACTGGGTCCCTGTGTGGATTTGGCATGTTTAGCCCAGGTCTGGGCTTTGTCAGCCCTTCCCTGCATCCTCCCAGGGCTGCAGCGGGGTGGATGGGGCACAGCCCAGCCCTTTGCAGAGACGCCGCTGCAGCTACGGTTGCTTTTGCTGAATAAGCCTCCGGCTGGAAGCAGCGCTGACGTCAGGCTGTGGAAATACCTGTGCGAGGGCTGGGAGCCGGCTCCGCACGGCCCTCGGCAATGAGGCTGGGAGGAGGGATGCTCCCTTCCCACCCCAAAAAGGTGCACCCACCTCTGGCCCACGCCAGCTGCCTTGCCCGGGCACGGCAGGTAATTAAGGGATGAGCCGCGCTGTCTCTGGGGTGGGGCTGCTGCAGGGCCATGGGGAGCGGAGCACCTCGGCAGCTGCCCCCGAGCGCTTTCCTGCTCTTGACCTCTGATTTTCCCCAGCCCTGGTGCTGTCCCTCGTCGAGGTGGGCTGCAGCCCCTGCACTGTGCAAATCCACCCCCTCACTACGTCTTTTCCCGGCTCTGCCTCCGCCTCTGCTCCGGGGGGCATTTCCCTAGGGGAGAGGTTTGTTATCCATGGGTGCCTGCCCACAGCGAGGTGGGTAACCCAAGGCAGGCAAACCCCGAGTCATGCACGTTTGGAAGAGGCCAAATTGCTGCAGGCAAGTGCCCTTCACTCTGCCCTGCCTGTGGGTGCTGCACAGCTGGTTCAAATCTGATGGGCTTGAGCAGGGCATCTTGCCTTGGGCTGAGCGTGTAGGTGCAGGATCCAGCAAGCGGGGCAGGACGTGCGCGCACTCGGTGTGACGCCAAGAGGATGGGGGTGCTGGCCCGTCCCTTCCCGGGGTGGCAGGCCATGGTGTTGGGTGGCAGCGGCCGGGTGTGGGGTGATGTCTGGCCAAGTGAAGCTGGCTCCAGGGCCCTGTGCCATCCTGCCGCGCTCCCTGCACAGAGCTGGCCAGCGACTTCTCCGGCAGAGCCGATGGAAGGGTGGAGCGGAGGTGGCGGGGTGACAGGAACTCTGGGCGCTGGTGCTTTCCCTCTGCAGTGATTTATGGAGCAAGACGCCGCTGCCCTGGAAATGGGCTGGGGTGGCTCCAAGCTGCTTCCTCTGCTCGGCGCAAACAATGCCGCCTGGAAAACCGTCCCAGCTGTGCCGGCCCCGGCCATGGCCCCTGGGAACCCTTGTTCGCAGCTGAAGGATGCGTGACCAGCTTCTGTGCAGCATTCCCAGCAAGGGGCCGCCCCTGGTGCC